AAACAAACAAACAAAAAGGGCGATACAAAGGAAGGACCATTTTGTATCTGTGTATGCAGAATAGTTAGGATAGGTATACAGCTACTTTCGCTCGATTCAATGAGAAGAAAGATTTGTACTAATAGTGTTTGAACAGGATATTCTGTCTGCATCTTGTACTATGGATAACCACTAAGAAGATAATAAAGTACAATGCATTAATTATTGAGACTGATCTATTAATCAGTTTTGAAACTGTCCCCTTGATATTTGTTTCTCAATAAAATAAAATTTTTAAAAACGTGGGCTCTGAGGAGGAGATCAGCATGAGGTAGGGATGACTGCGTGTCTGAGGCTTCAGGGGCCGACGCCACTGCTGCGGCCCCCATGTAGCTGACGCCTTAGCTTGTGCTGAGCTAATGTTTTTGGGTGCAAGTCGGACATGACTTTCTGAAGACACCCTTAGCGCTAATCAATCCAAGGGTTATCGTTTTTACCTTCAAGTTTTTGTGGGGGTGGGGGGAACATAAAACATCAAAACATCCTAGAGGCGCCTCTCTGCCCACTCTAGGAAACCTGCACGTGTCGGGTTCCAAGGTGGAGACGCCCTCCGCCCCGAAAGCAGTTCCTCCCTTCGACACGAGGTGGCGGCGCACACAGCTCTAAGGGCGCTGCTCGCGCTCAGCGAAGACGCCTCTGCAGAGCCCTCGGCCAGTGGCTTGCGGACCGTGGACCGCAGCGCAGGACGCGGGAGTGGCACGAAAGCAGGAAACAGCTGTCCAAACCCAAGCCGTAGAAGTAATTCGATCTTCAGGCTCACTTCAATGTTGGCAGGCAGGAGAAAGGAGAGCGCAGTACAGCAGAGCCTGCTCGCACAGCCGCTGTCCCCCCGCGACGCCGGGGCAGCCGCGGGTGGGAGCAGGGGGCGGCGGAGCTGGGCGCTGCTCGGGCTCGGCGCGGGCGCGAGGCCTCAGTCCGCTGTCCTCCCCGCGGGCCGTCGGTGCGCAGTGTCGGGGCTGCAGCCTGAGCCTCGCGGGGGCAGAAGCGCGCAGCTCGCGTTGCGGTCACCTCCACGGCCGGAGCGCGCGCAGTGAGCGCTGCTGTCCTGCCGAATACAGCCAGCGCCGCCTGAGGGGTGAGTCGGGCTCCTGGAGTTACTCAGACCGCCCGACTGAGCTGCTGCTGCGGGTCTGCCGTGACGGAGCACACTCAGGACAGACGAAATGATCGATGGTGTCGTCAAGTACGCTGCTTCGCCGTACGCGGATCCTACGCCTTTCTTACCGAGACTGTCTCAGGAGCGAAGGAGTGGGCATCGGGGCCCAGGAGACGCGGCCGTCTGGCGACGCTGGGCCCTGCTCTCCCGGAGGCTCCAGGGCTGTGGCCAGGCAGCGCTGTCAGGGCTGCAGTGAGTCCGCCTTACCTCCAGGGCACCTGCACCGGCCGCTTCCCTCTCTTGCAACACCGTCCCAAACCGCACACTCTGTGCTCTTTTTTTTTTTTTTTTTTTTCCCCACAAGACGTGTTTTATCTTTATTCAACATACAAATAATTTTGTATAATATCCCAGGACAAACTGGAGAATTTGGCAGTCCGATTAGGGGGGGTTCCCCTCAGAGACCCACTGGCTGGTGGCATCAGCGCAGAATGCCCGGGTTCACATTGCACCTTGCGGCTCGCGTCCATCTTGCAAGTCATCTCTGTGCTCGCATTTTTGACATCATACTCCTGATCTCAGAGAAGCATCCCGAGACACGCTCCAAGGGATGCTCTGCTATGGCCCAGTACGCTCTTCACTTTCCTGCCGGCCCAGAATCGAAGGAGCTGACTCATACCTACACAGGGAGGAGCAAGCTTCCGGCTTCAGACAGCCCTGGGAAGCGTGAGCCCTGGAGAAGGCGCCTGCGCACCAGCTCTGGCGGATCGGGGAGCCTCCATCCCAAGGAGAACGCCTAGACTCAACTTAATATTCAGCCTCCAGCGCTACTGTTTTGTACTAAAACACCAGACAGCTGTAGGAAACCCTTTCAGAGAACACAGCCGACGGACACTCTGAGGTCTGTGCTCTTGTAGGGAGGCAATAGGCTTGGGCCAGTGATCTATTGCTGTGCCATAAATTTAGTTGTCTCCATTGAAGGCTGTCTTCAGTGGACATCATGAAATTGGCAGTGGCTTCAGTTCCTTGGGAAGGTTGATCTCACTCTTGCTTTACTTTTTATTGTTTGTCTTGTATGAAATACAGAGGAAAAATAATCCCACCACTTATGCATGGTATTATGCCAAGATTCTACAACGTGAAAACAAGAGGACAGTTGGGAGCTGCACCGGGCTGTGTTTATAGACAATCTGCATGCTAGTAACTCTAAAATCATCACAATCTCCATTTTATCAGGAGATACGCAACATTTATTTGCCTCCTCCCTTATATTTGTCTCCATTGCTGCCCCTAACATTCAGTTATTCACCATTCCACTGCATTCTAGAGGGGCTCTGTGGTAACCCGGCTCAAGTAGCACCAAGTAGAATTATTCCAGCTTCTCCCTGCTGTCTAAGGTGGGCTTTTCAAGGGCAGGGAGTGGCTGTTGTTTATTCTTGCCCCTCTCAGTTTTTCAGAAACCTACAAAAAAAAAAAAAATAAGTGCCACAGGATATAAAGGGTACATGTCCAGACGAAGACTGTTTCTTAGTAGGGAGATAGAGACAGAGATCAAGATAGAGACAGAGACCGAGATGCAGATGCGGATACAGATGCGGATACAAGTATTAGTCTGGAGAAGAGAATCATGAAAATACAAACCATCACCCACTGACAACAGGCCTCGTGGGAGAGGTTAGTTGTGACAATATTCTGGGGTTGCTTTCCAAAGGTGACAAATCAGGTAGAGGGGACAGAGGGCAATGGCAGAAGCAACACCACCTCCTACTCTTCTGTTTCCTATCCAGGCTAAGTGCTGCTGACCTACAGTAACTGTTCTTCCCTAAAGCCAGGTCTTCTGGAGTATTATGCCAGCCAGCCTGTGTGGCTTCCAGTCATCCTTTTAGTCTCATGTCATAGAATCTTGACTTCACTGTGTGCATGAACTGCGCACTTCTTTTCCCTCCACATTTCCTATGAGAAAGGAGTTCTGACAAACGCAGACCCAGCTGTTTGCTCTCACATGAATCCTTCATGCTGAGTTATTTGGTGAATATGAGTAAAAGGTAGAAAGGTGGGCGAGTTGCCTGGAGTGACTTAGGCAGCGACAGGAGAGGGCTACAGAGACAGGTGCAGCTGTGGGGCTTGGCTGGGGAGTGGATGCTGTTCTGCAGCTGACAGGAAATCACTGAAGGCCTTGGAGGAGAAGAGAGAGTCAGCCAAGGTCGTGCACTGAGGAAATCATCAAGCGCTCACCCCTGAGCTAGAAGGACGGAGACCACCGATCCTCGCCGGACGTAACGTGCAGCTTTCATCTGCCCATGTGCATACGTACTCTCGCAGTGTAAGTTAAGTATAAAAGTTGTCTTATTAACAAAAACTTGCAAATTCGAGCCAATAACAAATGACCTTCTTGCACAAAGATCTTTCTCAAGCAGCCTGCCCCGAGAACCCTTGACATCTAGACCTCCTCCATTCCTACCTTCTCTGGGTTGTACCACACTGTGAGGCTATCGTCGGCCATCCACAAGTGCGCACGGACCACTGTCTCAGTGCACAGCACTCGCAGGCTGCGGAGCACTTCAGAGCTCTTCTGCCTGGTGAGGCAGCTCTCGCTGCAAGTGCTCACGGAACTCTAAGTTCATCAACATTAAGCAAACTTATACAGATATGTTTTGTTTACTTTTGTCAGAGATGGGTGTTCCATTGCCATTCAAATAGTTAGGATAGATATGCAGCTACTTTCTCTTAGTTCAATAAGAAGAAAGATTTGTACTAATCGTGTTTAGACAAGATATTATGTCTGCATCTTGTACTATGAATGACTACTTCAAAGACAACAATATGTATTTAATTATTGTAACTGTCCTGCTAACCTGTTTTGAAACTGTCTCCATGCTATTTCTCAATAAAATTAATATAAAAAGTTAAGCAAACTTAAATTCCAGTTCTTCCCTTGGCCCCCACACACCCGTAGCCACATTTTTGGACGCTCCACTGATGACTTTGATTACTCATTTGTGGGAAACTCTGACGACCAGTACTGCAGCTTGGAAAGGGGTAACAGAATACGAGCTGTGTCATGGTGTCTTCTCCCCATAACACTGCACAGTTTTCAGAGTTCCTCTTCCCGAGATGTCTTCTTTCTTCTGAGAGGAGCTGCCAAGGAGGGGCCAGAAGGGGCGCCTGCCCCTGAGTAGGATTTGCTGACACCACTTGTACGTTGACAGCGGGGGCCTGCTGAATTCTGATCATTTTGATTCAATGACAGACAGACAGACAGACAGACAGACAGACAGACAGACAAACTGAGAAGTAAAAACAAAAAACAAAAGCAAAAACAAAAAATAGATTGTGGATTCTGGGGTTGGGGGGATCACATGCCTAGTAAGACACAGCTAAAAACAATGACACTGTGGCAAGATGCATGAAAATCTTCTTCTTATTATGCTGTGTGACAATTTCTTAGCAAGGAAAGATATGACAAGATGATAGAAATACCTGCATTTTAATCAAATCGACGAAGGAGATGTGGTTAGGCAAGCGACCTTCAGCAAATCCTGGAGAGAGCGCCGAATTCCTGCAAGCCGCGCGCTGATTGGCTGTGTGGAGCACACCACGGCTTCCTAGCAACGCCCTGCTCTAGCAGCTCACGCGCAGCCTGCCGCAGCACCCGTCTCAAGCTCTCTACCTGCTTCCGTTTACACCCAGCAGCAGAGAGCAGCGAGGAAACCGCAGAGCATCCTCGCGGCTCGGTTATGAGGACGCTCTCTGTAATACGGAGGAACAGAAGAAATATATTTACAAATAAAACAGACTGTAAAGCCTTCAGCGGAAGATTCAAAGCTGTAAATCACATAAAACGTGTAATCCAGAGTACAGTGTTTTACTCATAAAATTTCAGTTCGTGTAAGTGGATGTTGTTCTTGGGTACACATAATGATGCCAAGCTGCTGCGCGGCTTGCAAGGACAAGTTCTCCCGCCGTCCACTTCGCTACCTATGCCGCGCGGCCTGCACGGTTGTTTTGCAAATTTAATTTTCATTTATATTATCAGCACATGTTTTCGGTACATAATGACTACATTCATCTTGGGGAGGGTGTGCCTGTTCATATCACATCTTATTTCTTTCTTGGGGATGTACATTTGGCTAAGCTTGCATCTGAGTAATGAGAATAAAAGAGATTTTTCATGTTTGGTGTATTATGTTTAATATTTTGGGACACAATTTAATAAAGAACGATAAAGCTGTTGGACACTTTCCAAGGGGGCACAAGTCGCAACTGAATAGATAAATCTCTTTCCCCTACTCCCTCTTTTGTCCTCTTTATCTAGGTATGTGAGCAGGATGGCTTGGACAACTGTACTGTGCATTTCTGCTGGTCTATGGAAAGAAGCAGTCAATGCTTGAATATTTTTTTCATTTATTCAATCGTACTTTTTCTCTTCTTAGTTTCTTATACATTTCTTTCTGTTTTTCTTCCTTCCAATTTTACATGCATATATTTGATAATATAAATAACTGGTTGGAAGACAACACTATGTATTACAACAAATACTATGAAATCCATATTTGTTAAGTGAAATTCTGTATCACTTTAAATTTTTCTGTCTTAATTCTAATTTGTACTCTCTTTTAAAATATATATAAAATTAGCAACTGTATGAGTACACCCTTATTTCTGGAGGGTGCGCTCTCTCAGAATCTCTCTGCCCAAGTCATCATTATTCATCACAATTGAAAAGTCGCTCAGTAAGAGCGACATTTAGGGCACGCGTGCCAACACCCACAGCTCTATTTCTACAGTCCCGATTACAGCATTGCTCTAGGTGTATTACTGGCACGACAAAGAAGTTGTTGCTATTTTTAACTCCGAAAATCCACACTTTAACATATATTAAAGTAGCAAAGAATAAAAATTTTAAAAAGAATTTTCTGGAAGGAAAATTAAAGGAAT